CCCCCCCCAAAAAAAACACCTTGTCAAAATTCGAGCTCGATTTTTCACACAACCCCATCAATAGCCACTAAGCCCATGACAACGTAGCTCCCTGTCTGAACGGGTTTGGGGGAGGAGAAGCTGCAGTCAAACAGGCAAAAATTCATCTCAAGGAGTGAGTGAGGCAGGGCACAAAACTAAACAAATGCAAATCCACAGGAATTTTGCCCCTCCAAAAATGAATCCAAATTTTTGCAAAAGAGAAGTGGCTGTGAAGCAGTCCAAAATTTAACGTCAGTGGGTTAAGCAGGGCAAGAGATTATTTGAAAACGAGGTGTGGTTTGACCAAATGAAACAAATGCTGGCAAAAGTTAAGCAAATCTATCAGCTGTACACCCCCCTGGCCCCCATTTCAATTTACAGAATTGGCAAACACCCCAAAATAAAACCAAAGCAAAATGCAAATAAAGGTCAGGAGTATCATCCTGGCAGTCTTGGTGCACCTCCTCTCCTTCACACACATTGTAAAAATCAAAAGCCAAAAAAGCAAAACCAATTTACAGCGTCCTCCATACATTTGAAGCTCATTCTTTGGCCCGACTTAGTTCGCAACCCCCCGACCCTCCCCTGGGGAAATAAGAAGCCATCACTGAACTAGTAAAAGTGCAGTTGCTGTGGTCACTGATGAAAGTGGCGGTGGCGTGCAAACAAGACAAGCGGAGGTTTTGTCTTGCCGCCTTTCTCACAGAGGAAGTGGAGTTCTGAGCTGACATGGATACCCTGGATGCTCTTTTCTCACGGCGTCAATGACGAGCTGACACAATGCCGCCATTGTCGCCGCCTCCTCCCATCAGCACGGATCCATTTCACCGCAGCTGACCTCCAATTTTCATCCCACAAACTCATTACAGTCAAACGATCATCACCTGAAGACTTCCCGGGAAAGTGGGAGATCAAACGTAGCATTAGCTTAGCATTTGATGTCGTATGGATGAATCCGAAAGCTCAAAAGTTAGCAAGACTGTCGCAAATGCTGGCATTTTATTAATCCTAAAGGTGAAATGTTTCACCGCTAGTTAGATTAGCACCAAGCCTCAAACCAAGGTTGCGTGGAACTGACAATGAACTGGTCACCAAAATGTGTTTTCTCACTGACAGAAACAAAATAACTCATGATGTAGCATCCGATTTTGGACAAACTCAATCTCCACCGGGAAAACCATCACTATGTCTTTACGAACCAAAACACTAAATGCGTTCACAGCTAGTAGCATTAGCATATAGCAGGCTAGCTGAAAATAGAGCTGCATAAAACTGACAATGAAACGGTCAATTGAATGTGCTTTTTCAAGACATACAAAATAATTGATTTACAATAGATATGTCAAGGGGTAGAATGAGTATTATCTGAGCGTTAGATTAGATTACGAATAAAACCAGCGCTTTAACTGGACTATGACGATGTTTGCCTGACCTTGGAACATTCACTCACCCCGATGGTTAAATACTTCCACGTTTGTTAGCTTAGCACCTCACATGCTAGCCCAAAACCAAATGAACGTAAATGTCCTTTACTCCTCCTAAAGAGACATTTATTCGAAAAAAAATGTCAACCTAAATTACATTTCGATACAAAAGGAGCATTCCTTTTGGAAAACAATCTGCTTCTGTAGCGTCGAAAGCAACAGTGACAACACTGAAAGAGGTCATTGAAACCGTCGTTTCGGGGACATTTAAGCTTCCCGTAACCTGATAAAACCATTCGGTGTTCATTCTCATATGAACAGAGCAGCCTTTGTGTGTGCATTTGCGCTTGCGCGACAGTAGCCGGGACACTGGAACCGAGCGGACATGAAGCTGGAATCCAAGCCACCATTTGAGCTGACTTCTTTTGACCATCAATGCAAACTGTTACAGCATTTTGTCACACAGATCAATAGGAAATTTGGTAGGAATGATAAGTGGACCCCCAAACAGGTTTCAAGAAGCCATGCCTGAAAAGACACATGAAGTCTGCCGTTTTGGTTCCAAGTGGTAGATCATGTTGTCCAATTTTCATCATCATCATCATTATTAAAAACTAGCCCTTGAAGCCAGCTTTGGTCACCAACATGAATTTTGGAGACATGTCTATCATGAGTAGATTCACAAAATGTTTCAAGAAGCCACACACGCAAAGAAAGATAGACAGACACACAAACTTGGGCATTCTGTCTTTTTGTGTATTTTCCAACATTGCTTCTTGAAATTTTTTTGCAGGTCTCCTCATGCTAGGCCTGTCTACCAAATCTCATGATGTTCAATTAAACTGGCTTCGGTGGCTGAATTTTGAAAAGAATTGCAGGCTGCCCTAATGAGCCAACTTGGTTGCGGCTATGCTCTGAAAATGAGTTGCGTGGATTTGCGTTTGTCGCAGGTCCGCTTCCTGGAGCAGCAAAACAAGATGCTGGAGACCAAGCTGGAGCTGCTGCAGGGCCAGGGCGCGGGCCGCTCCAACGTGGAGCCGCTGTTTGAGGTCTACATGGCGGGTCTCAGGCGCCAAATGGACCTGGTCAACAACGACAAGAGCAAACTGGACGGCGAGCTGAGGAACATGCAGGGCCTGGTGGAAGACTACAAGCACAAGTCAGCTCGACTTTAAAAAGAAGCACAGGAATGACAGCCCACCTCTTGTCAATGCTGTGATTGTTTCTTCTGCTTCTTCTTTTGACAAATGACTCACTCTTTTGGCTGGCTTCTGCGTCTTCCTTTTTGTTGCGCTTACAGTGATGATAAAGCGAATGTGGTCATGTTATAAACATTATTCTTACAGTACTTGACTTTAATCGAGGCTCGGCTCTGTGTGCAGATACGAGGACGAGATCAACAAGAGGAACAACCTGGAGAATGACTTTGTCCTCCTGAAGAAGGTCTTTCTCTCTCTCACACACACACACACACACACACACACACACACACGCGCTGTACATGATCATACGGTGTGACTCTTTGAGGGACCCCCCGCTTTGTATGCACATGTAACTGGAGCTGGAGGGTATCATCCAAGTCCACAATGGGGAAAATGACACCCGCCGCAAACCATTCGTGTCTCTCTTGGACTGGAAAGCGGAGCTGTGCACTCGCGAAAGACTTGGGAAGAAAAAAAAAAGTCCCATTTCAAATATTCCATGTGCGCAGGATGTGGACTCGGCCTACATGGTCAAGTCCGACCTGGAAGACAAAGTGGGAGCTCTGACCGATGAGATCAACTTCCTGCGCGCCATCTACGAGGAGGTACGACAGGCGACTTCCTCTGGAATGTCTTTGATGTGTACCGAATCGCGTCGGTTTGTTGAAAGCTTGACATTGTCTTTGATGTTTATTAAAATACAACATTTGGTTTGCGTGAGGCTCAATCGCCATCCGTGTTTAGCGCGACTCTAAATTGTGTTTGATGTTTTAACAAAATGGTTCATTGAAAACGGAATTCGTTGAAATCTTTGCTGTACTCAACATGTAATGTATGTAGACATTGGTAACCTGAAGGATTCAAGCGGATGTCATTATTGCGTCGGCAGGAGCTGCGCGAGTTGCAGGCCAGCATCCGGGACACGTCGGTGGTGGTGCAGATGGACAACAGTCGCAGCCTGAACATGGAGCAGATCGTGGCCGAGGTCAAAGCTCAGTACGAGGAGATCGCCGCTCGCAGCCGAGAGGAGGCCGAGGCCTGGTACAAGAGCAAAGTACGTCTTCCCGGAATGCAAGCGCAAGCGCCCCGGTTCCCTTCACTCCATTGGGGGTTGGGCAGGGTGAAAATCTGCAGTGAGTGTGGCAATGCACTGTCCACGAGGGCTTCTCAAACTATGACAGCAAATCATGTATTTATTTATTTATTTATTTATTTATTTATTTATTTGGGAGGAGGAAAAAAAATCTTTAAATGTTGTACCACAACTCTCACTATACAGCTGAACTGTATTCAGGTAGTGATTCTCTTGCATACCACTAGAGGGAGCCCGCCCGCCGCATGTGGTACTTGTCCAATGGCCCAACAGATACGGATTTTTTTTTTTTTTTTTTTTTTGGGAAGCCCATGTTTGGCAGAATAAAATTCCGCTGACCAATTAATGAGCTGAATAATAAAGAATCATATAGAATTCATAAATTACAGTAACTCCTTTTTGGTTCCTTAACGATGAAAAAAATGCAGATCTGAATTACAGGCAGAACCTTTGAATGCTTTACGATACCTTTTGTCTGTTAGTTTTAAAGTTGACAACAAAAACAGATGTCAGCCAATTTTTTTTTTTTTTGGCTGACTTTTTTTTTCCCATAATTTTGCCAATTTCTATTTGTATTTTGTACATTTTTCTTGACGTCCGTCCCTCCGTCCCTTGTGGTCAGTTCGACCAGATGTCAGTGCAGGCCAGCCAGTTCGGAGACGAGCTCCGCGTGGTCAAGGGTGAAGTGGGCGAAGTCAATCGCCTCATCGGCCGCCTGCAGAGCGAGATCGAGGCCGTCAAAGCGCAGGTACCGGCCGACGCTGCCGTCCGCTTCCTGTTACCCTCGGCGTTGCAAAAACTCACATCTATCCATGACTAAAAACCTCAAATCAAGGCAAAATATGCTTGCCCAGATGTTTCTACTGAGCAGAGGTCGTTTTTGTGGCTTCGCTGGCTTCAAGCTATATTTTCCTAACAATTTTTAAGGTGTTATTACTTCCATCCTTCTATTTGGTGTATTTCCGACACGACCTCCGAAGTCGAGAAATCTCTGCGGTGGCGTGTGTGTGTGTGTGTGTGTGAAATGCTTTTCAGCGCGGCAACCTGGAGAGCCAGCTGGCTGAGGCAGAGGACCGCGGGGAGATGGCAGTGAAAGAGGCCAAAGCTCGCACCCGCGACCTGGAGGACGCCCTGCAGAGAGCCAAGCAAGACATGGCCCGCCAGCTCAGAGAGTACCAGGTACCGCTCACTTCATGGCAGCGCCACACTTTGGGTCCACTGCGAAATAGCGCGATGGGGCGCACATTTTTACAGCGGAACACATCTGCCTGGTTTGTCAGGGATTCATTTTTTTTTTTTTTTTTATGGCTTGACCTTGATTCAATATGGTCCAGAAAACATTTTACACACGCTTAAAAAACAAAACAAAAAACTCCCAAGTATCACCATCAGAAAGGCGTTGCCTGCCAGCCGTTTTCAAGGCAGTTTGCTATCTTGTCAGCCATTTTGGAGCAGTCTGACTGTAGTTTGCCGATCAACAGGACTTTGTGGTCTGGGACAATTGCGCACCAGACCTACCAAAGGAAAGCATCGACTCTTTTACCAGAAAAAAAGTTATTCTACCTTTTTTCTGTTCTTTAATCGGCAGTAGCACATAGGTTGGTTTCACCCAAATCACCATTTCCTGACCAAAAAGCAGAGAAAATGAGCTTTGTGTGTGGAAGGGAGGAAAAAGCCATGTTAGAAAGTCACTCTGTATCGAAAAAAATGTCAGCAGTCAAGCAGGGTTTTTAGTCTCTTGGGCTCAGACTGGCTGCTGATAACCGCAAGCATCCGCCGATAGAACACTTTTGGCTTGCTTTGAAGCTCTTTGAAGGTCCCCCCCCCAAGCCTCCCGCGACTAACCCGGGTCTCCCCTCAGGCCTTGAGATGTCGCAGGACGAAACTCCCGAATGTGCTTTTGAGGGCTTTGATCCCACGTGTGCGCTTGACCCGCAGGACCTGATGAACCTCAAGCTGGCTCTGGACATCGAGATCGCCACCTACAGGAAGCTGCTGGAAGGCGAGGAGGACAGGTGAGGGGACAGGAAGTGGGCGTCTTCTCCAACTTTTTTGCCTGATCCGCCTTTGCTGGCTTCGCAGATTGGGCCAGCAGTCCATCCTCAACATCCAGGCCGTCAGCAACTACAGTAAGTTGTCGTGTTGGCGACAAGACCTTTGCCAAGGCCGGCAAACTCTCCACTCTTGTCTCTGACTTGTTTTTTGCTTGCAAGGTTACCTTGAAAAAGTCACTTGGTTAACTTTGCGTTGTTTACAAACATAACCCCCAAATTTCGGGACCGCCTTCAATGCAGTTGTACTTCACACGACCTGTTGGGTCCAAATATTTCTTCCAATTTGTGTTTTTTTTTTTTAATTATTTTTTTAAGCAAGATAACACTGTCACTTTGTACTTTTTTTTTCTGCTTTCTGTCGCGTCTTTGTCAAACTGCGCCGTTTTCTCGGCAGGCAGCAGAAGTTCCAACGGTCACTACCAGAGCGCCGGCGGCTCTTCGCCTTCGAAGGTGCTCATCAAAACCACCGAGACCCGAGACCACAGTAGATACAGCACACACTAAACAAACATCTGCCGCGCTCACATTTACTCTTCCCTAAAACTGAGTACAGTGATAAAAACTTCGAGATAGCAAATCTAACTCTACTTTCTTGGGTGTTTCTGTTTGGGGTGGAACTTCGATATCTCCTTCAAATGTATGCAAATGATTGTTGTGCTCAAACCTCAGTCATATGAAGTTAGATGACTTGAATACTTCCAGACAATCTTACTATTTTGTCTTGGTTTATTTTTTTTCCTCCCTTTTGTTTGAAATCATAATAAAACGACAGAAGGCATTTTTGTACTTTCCATTTTGGTGCCAACGGTCTTCATTGAGACAAAAGTATTGCTTTGCCACCATCTTGTGGCATGTTGAAGCCGAGGAACATTTTTGAGGTGAATTGAGGAGTTTTCCTTCGATCCAAGTAGCGCTTTGCCACTATCCTGTGGCGTCTTTAGGCAGTTACAACTCTTTCGGTGAGTTTTAATTTCTCAATCAGATCCCTCATAGCGCTTTGCCACTATCCTGTGGCGTCTTTAGGCACTTACAACTCTTTCGTGAGTTTTAATTTCTCAATCAGATCCTTCCAAGTGATTTTCTATTGTTGCCACCAGATGGCGGCAAAGTGCTGCTTTTGGTCAAAGTGGTGGCGTGGGTCTATCAAGACTTGCTTGGGCTGTGCAATCGAACACTCGTCTTGAGTCCCGTTGCGGACAAAAATGTAAAAAAAAATTAAAGTCCCGATATGTGTGGGCCTGACTCTAAATGATGCTCCTCAACTGACTTCTACATAGTTCCGTAACACCAAAATGCCATCAAAGCAACGCCGTAATTGCTTTGCAATTGCTTTGAACCCAAAGACAACGAGAAGGGATGTTTTCCGAGCATAAAACAGTGCCCCCCCCCCCACTCCCACACACACACACACACGAACGCAAAGCCATGTGTGGGGGTTCACTGTATACTCCCCATGAGTCCCTATGGGGAAAAGTGGCATCCTAACGGGAACGACAAACAGAGTTGAAGTGGGACAAACACAGAGCGGCATCGTCAGAGAGCAAGAGAACGCGCGTGTGTGTGTGTGTGTGTGGAGGGGGGTGGGGGGGGGTAGACGAGGTGCCGCAGCGGTCCAGTGGGTCTCGGTGGCGACCATCGTCGCTTCTCCTTCCTCGTCATCCTGACAACAGAGAGAAGGTTGGAAAGCGAGAGGGAGGGGAGTGTGTGAGGCCGGGGGTCGTTCGGTTGAACCAACCTTGAGGACAGGACCTCATCTTCATCCTCATCCTCTTCGTCTTCTTCATCATCATCATCATCATGCCGGCGTGGCGGAGGAACCTCGGCTTCTGCCTGCTGCGGCTGCACGAGGACGGTAAGCAACCACTACTCTGCGTATGTGTGCGTGCGTGCGTGCTCGACGTGTCACAACGCGCGCGCGCCTGTGGGGACTTTCCCGCGTGCGAGTTGTGCGCACGTTTGCCTCGCGCAGTTTGCGAGCGTGTGCGCGTACGACGCGCGTTCCGTGCGGGCGCCGTGTTGCGCATGCGTCGCTCGCGTCAAAGTATTTCTGGTTTACTATTCATGCAGCAATCCGGTGCAAATGAGAGGCGGCGTAGTGATAGTGGTGAGTGTGCCCGGTTCACACTTCGGAGGTTCTCTGTTCGAATCCCTGCTGGGGCCTTTTTGCGTGGTGTTTGAATGTTACGTCATTCAAATTGTTCGTGGCTTTATTTGCGAATGTTTCATCTACTTGTACAGTACCAATCCATTGTGTTTTAAAATCATGATTCAAAAAAATGAAATTGATTGTTAGAACTGAAATGAGTAGTTGTAGAAGTTGTACAGTTTTTATCGTTCAAATCCAGGCCGTAGTCTGATCGCTTCTTAAAAGTAGCTCTTGAAGTCTGACAGTTTCAGAAGTGGCCGAAATTTACGTTCCTATGTTCTAGATAAACTTACGTAGCGTGGACTAGAGCAGGCAGAAACGCGTCAAAGTTACGGCCATGTTGGCAGTGGCGATGTTCCAGTCCAAGGTGATGGAAAGCATGGCCATGAGCTTAAGATCAGCAGCTCAAAGGAGCATGTTGCGTCTTTCAATGTAATCATATCCGTGGCTGTTTTTTAGTCATCTACACGTCTCTCAAAACATACTATTTTTGGTACAATTATCTTGTTTTGTAAGGCCCTTTCATGGTAATGGAGAAAGCATATGCTAACATGGTGGCTCATTAATTCAAGCAGGTGCATGTCGTTATCCTCCCTCCAAGCACCAGCAAAGTAAGTTCGAATACATTTCCATTTGTCTGTTGTCCAATTCGTCTATTCACGTGCTGTACAAAAGAAATGTGTAGTTAGCTTACGTATATTTGGACTGAACCCGTGTATAGCACGGCAACAAACACTTTGCGGCCTCCATTTTGTGCCAGTGAAGCGATTAAGCACTCGTACTAGTTTGGAGCCTCTCGAATGCGGCGCTCAACAAATCCTGAAGTCATATTTTTGTTGGCGGGATGCTGTACAGCGGGTTTTTTTTTCCCCCTCTTCTTCTTGTTTCACAACATCAGCACGCACATGTTAGCACCCAGGCTCATTGGCCATCCCTGCTGCCATCCACTGATTACTGCCTTATGGCCGCATGAATCGGTCATAAATTGGACCGGGCTCTGTTTTTTAATAGCTGACTGCCAGCCGCGGGGAGGTTGAACGCAGCAAGTCATTATCATGTTGATCATGGCAATGGTGAGGCTTTAATGAAGTTCCCTTGGCTGCCCTTCAGCAAGGCACTGACCTCCCGCCTGCCTGGTCGTCACTGTTTCATGCCATGAAAAGCTCATTGGAGGGCGGTCACGCTTATTTTAAGGACTGTTCAAAGTGGGCAAAGGTCTAAGTGTTCATGAAAATGTTATACTGTACTAAAAAACTTGACTTGTTCAGTGAGGCTTTGTAGCTTGAGCCTCCGTAAGTTCACTTCAACACAACTCTGAGAAAATCACAATGTCCCCTGACTGTTGACTAGCTATTTTTAAAACAGGCCTTGCGGGCTGATCATGTAATTGAAGTTGACATTTTGACGACGGTGTAAAAAATACAACGCTCGAGCTTCATTTTGAAATATGTAAATATGCTGCATTATCAGTACATGGAAAATCAAATATAACAGTCAATATTCAACATAGGGGTTACATATACAAAATTTGACGTCAATCTGGCACATCCGAGGTGCGCAGACACGAAATAAGGTGGACACATCCTGTATTCGAGCTGTGTGAAACATTGCAAGGTGTCGAAATACTGCATTAGACGTGTGTGTGTGTGTGTGTGTGTGTGTGTGTGTGTGTGTGTGTGTGTGTGTCAGGAAGAGTGTGTGTCCCAGGGGCCTTCAATCAGCTCGCAGACGGCGGCAGTGGGATAATTTAAGGGTGCGAACAATCATGGCGTGCGTGTGATGTGCAAGGAGGAGAGGAAGCGAGGGGATGAGGAAAAGCAAGATGGGGGGGAGGGAAGCTTTTGTCGTCATCTTCGGCAGCTGTACGAGGACGCGGTAAAAATCACAGCAGGCCATGAAAGTCACAAGTCTTTGCGCTTATCACTAATTGTGTGTGTGTGTGTGTGTGTGTGTGTGTGAAAATAAAAATCTGAGTCAAGTTAGTGCGCGTGCCTTCCACAAATGACTTTGTGTGTGTGTGTGTGTGTGTGTGTGTGTGTGTGTGTGTGTGTGTGTGTGTGTGTGTGTGTGTGTTAAACAGAACTTAGCCGCGGTACAGTGGACCTACTCCTAACCACATACGTTACAAATCAGCCCGCAATGAAAATCCGTGCTATAGAAGGGATAGATAAAAATAAAAAGAGGATAAGACTGCATATACCCTTTTTTTCTCTTTTAGGTATAAAAAAACTGTAGTGTTTCATTTATGAAATCAATAAACTGCGACAGTCATCACAACATGCCACTTTTTGAAGTAACACAGACATTAGGAACTGTGACAAAATGTCGCTTGATTGAGGCTTATGTTCATGTAAAATTGTTCTTGTCTATTGGAGTCGTCCTCGTATCGGTGAAATAAAAGCCAAACTTAAACGGTCCAGCTGCCGCCGGCCCAAAACGCCGTCTGTGTCGATTTGATTAGAATCTTGATTTCGCTTGCGGTGAATGTGGTTTTCTTTTCTTTTTTTTTT